TCTGAAAGTTATTGCTGTCATTACTGCTCATTAAGGGAAGGGCTGCTGCTGGCTTTGAGTAAGGGATGGGTGATTGCAGTTCATCCCGATGGGATGTCATCTGCACCTTAGGGTGCAGGGAAGCACCAGCAGCATTTCAGGGTGCACACTAATATCCAGACACAGGCATGAAGCTGACTTCCCAGCGGGGACTCGCGGGATATCAGCCCCCGCGGCCGATGAGCCCTTGGCCGCGTTTCCAGGAAGGATTGGTGGGAGTGCTCAGGGGAATATACGTGTGCTTACGGACACTGGTGGTCACCTGCTTCCTTCCACAGTTAAATCATTTATACCCCAGAGGAGAGGGGTTAGTGTTACTGCAATTCCCAGCAGCAGGTGCAGAAATCTGCAGATTACGCCAGGGATGAATCCAGTTAATGCAAAGTGAGTTAAAACATAATTTAACATCCTCGGAGAGAGGTATGCAACACGGGTATGCGGTATCTTTGGACAGGTTTAACTTTTGGTAAAGCCCAGGAATGAAGAAGCTGTTGCAGGTCCCCTGTAGCAGGGCGTCATCTGGCAGCAGAGCCTGCTCGGCAGGTTTGCTGCGGGGCTGACCTTTGAGATGCAGGAGAAACATTTCCTCTTTGAACTGCTCTGCAGAGATAATGAATTTTGTAATGGATTTCCTGTTCTTATTATAGAACGGGGGAAGCTGGAAGATTGCATCCAAGCTTGCTTCACTGAGAGCCAGATGTAATTGTATTTGCTGGATAACCTGATATTTTCTTAAAACGTCGTTTTCTTTGGTTTGATCCAAAGCATCATACCGGGATTCAAACAGGCTTCAGTGGGAGTAGAGAGGAATATTGGGGAGCAGTCAAACAGTGCTTTGTGGGTGCATGGGAATGACCCAAAGACATGAATTGCCCTATGATCAGATCAAAGATCCCTCTAGTCCAGTGCTGTCTCCAGCAGTGGCAGGAGGAGACAGCACATGAGCCCTGCCCTTGCTGCCATCTGATCCCCATGGACTTCTCCAGCATTCACCACTGTTACGTTCCCTCTCTGTTGCTTCTGCTGTCTCTTTTTTCATCTATTGTCCATCAACCCATTTTGAACCCACGGATACCCCCGGCCTCTGCAGCCTCCCATGTCAGCAGGATGTAAAAGTTCACTGGTCCCGCAGCACAGAGGCAGGATTTCACTTTTCAGCAGCCCTGGGGGGTTTTGCTGGGCCACAGTAGGGCATACATTTTATGTCAGCTCCTAATGAAACCCTTGTGAACAGCCTCCAGGATACCCTGCATCCCTAAGTTGCTCCATCTGAGCCTCTCTCACTTCAGGAGAACGATGCATTTCTCAGTGCTGGGAGCTCTTTGCATTGCATGCAGAAAAGCAAAATCCACCCAACTTCCCAGCAGTAATCAGGCATTTATACCCTGTACAACGAAGTGGAGAGTTCCCACTCTGTTGCTGGACTTCCATCTGCATGTTGATCTTCAAGCTGTTAATCTAGCTTTCCCTTCAGTTAGCATTTCTCTCCCTTTACCTCACTGTCTCCCTATAGATCTGGGCAGCAAATGGTAAGATCCACCTGATAAATCCCCCCTCCTCCTCTCAGCAGGCTTTGCTGATCCCTGGGCTATTGCCTCTACCTTCACTTGGGCAGGCTCCATCCTCTTGCCAGGCACTTTCCTGTGCCACCCATGTGCTCCTCACACCTCAACAGAGGTGTCCACTGAGCACATCTGCAGACCTGAGACCTTCACCCAGGGCACATGACCAACACCCAAAGAAACCTGCAGCACCAGCTCCACTCTTCCTCCTCCCGATGTCCTGAGTGAGCCCCCCCGCATGGTGGCCCCTGGATGCCACACCATTATCCATCCCAAACACCTTATAACGCAGCCTCCCCTCTCTACCAGCAGGCACAAAACAACAGACATGAGACCAGAGCAGCAATGTGAGAGTTCCTTGGGAAAGTTTTGCTTTAATTAAACCTATTATTCTTGTTATAAATGACCAGTCTGGAATCCCATTAAATTCTTGGTCTCAGTGACTTCTTATCATATTAACATTTCATTGACCATCTCCTTATCCTTGGTAGTGAGACATGGAGAGCAGGACCGCTGCTCCCTCTCTGCAAGCCATTTGGTACTCCTAGTCCTCCTGTCACATCCCTTTGGACAGCGAGTCGGGGCCGAGCAGCCTCTTGCCACAGTGAGCTGTTTGCAGCAGGGAACATTTCCAGGTGCCTTCTCCAGACTGTGCAGCTTTAGGACACACCTGTTTGTGACTAGATCTGCAGGCTGAAGCCAGCCAGGACCTGGTGATGCTCTTCACATTACTCCGTGATTTCCTCCTCATGAGTCCTGACGTTTGTCTGCTCTTCAGACTGCAGCTGCCCCCTGCGCAGGAGTTTTAGGTGAGTGTCCTCTGCCCGTTGCAGCTAAATCAATAGAGATTGCTGCCTAGTGCCAAGTCAGGATTGCAAAAATAAGCAAAGCCTTGCATGGCACGGTGAATGGCTGAGGAACAAATAGAGGTTTACTGGGTCCAGTGCCAGATTGTACACCTTGTACATCCCATTCATGAACCTGGCACTGGCTGGCCAGGGACACGCGTATCTGCACCACCCAGGAAACAAAACTCAGGACCAGGTTGAACCTGGGGCAAAGCGACGTGCGTTGCTCAAATACTCATAATCCAGCTGTGTCAGCCGCCAGGCTGGGAGCTGCCTCCTCAAGTTCTCCCAACACTGGTGGAGGGGATCTCCAGGTGCATGGGACTTGTCAGCCTTGGTCACATACCGGTGGGAGCCTGGCAACAGTGCCAAGGTGAGCCTGAGCTCCCTGGTTAATTGTGTTAGCCAAATTGTGGTAGCAAAAATGCTTCCACTTGAAGGGTTTGGGCCATGGGCATCTTGGACCATACTTGCAGGCAAAGATGCTACTGTGGCACTGATTTCAGATATAAGGGAGTTCAGCCAAAGATGACCAGGAGGAGGTTAAATATTTCCCCACAGGGAATCAACTCTTGCCCCTGAGCACAGTTCCCACAGGTACAGCTTCACGATCCTTGACTACAGTGAACATTCCCTTTTAACTGACCTGCTGGGCACCTGCTGGCCTGGAGCAGCAGGATCTGTTACCCTCTGCTTCTGCCATGTCTCCTGATGCTATGCAGAGCTTCCAGCGTGTCTGGTGAATTAGGGGGCTTGAAGGGATTGTGGCTCCAGGACGTTGCAGAGCTTGAAAGTGCAAACTGATTTCAAAAAGTGGGCAAAACAGAAGGAGTTGGGCATGTTGGCTGTATCAGTGACTGTTAAACAGTGGTCTGGAGCAACCTCTGGCTTAGCTCTGAGCTGCTGTGAGCTGGGAGGTGGCCATAAACCAGGAGAAGGACTATTGTCTGCATGCCCCATTCCTTGTGCTTTTCTCCAGCTTTCCTTGGGAGCTGTTGGTAGACGTGGGATACTGTGTTAGAGAAACCTGAGGGCTTACATGAGCTTCCTCTCACCAGCAGTTGATGGAGGTTACCATACCTTGTCTGTTTGAAATTAAAGAGTGAACACATTGCAAATTCTCTCAGTGCATCCCCTGCCAGCCTCTTTTCCTCCCGTGGCATTTGGAAGAGCAACGGGCTGTCTCGGCTTCCCTGTGGAGGTGCAGACTACAGAGGAGCTTGGTGGGGTCTCCTCTTCTGTTTTCCTCTTCTGCTTCTGATCAGCACCGACCACATCCTCATACCGCAGCGGGTGTCAGGGCTTTTGAGCCAGTGCTTGCTCTGCTGGGGAGTCTCACTGGGCTGATGAAAGTCTGCTGTGGGATCCAGTCTGCATCAGCACTTCTGAAAAATTAGGCTCTCATCAGTGCCTGAACCCAAAATTAGGAGCTGGACATTATGGGCTTATTCATACCAACCCAGATCTTGCTGTCCAGATTGAGACCAGTTCTTCAGACTGAGAATTTGTCTTTTAAAGTAAATCAGGCCTGCTGAAAATATAAAATTAAAGCAAAAACCATGCAGAAAGGATCCATATCTTCCTCGGTGAACTGCCTCAGGACACGCATTTATTAAAGGCAGAAATACAGAGTGGTGGAGATAGCGAAACTGTCTCGCTTGCCTGTGTTTCAATTCTGGTCGCATGAATAGGCTGATGGTTCGGGTTTATGTCTCTGGCAGACATCAGTGCAAATGCAGAGATGCTGCAAAACAACTTTGCCTCTGCAGACCCGGAGGAACAGCCTTTCTTAAACATCCTCTGCCAGGGGGAGCAAAGAAATGCTGCCCTGTGATGCTGCTCCTTGTCTTGACGCTTTGAAGCAATAAATAAAGCTTGTGAATGCTCCACCCTGAGCAAGCAGTGAGCTCCAGTTTGCAGCCATGTCTCAGCCAGCCGTCGTAATAGCTCAATGACAGGAAAGTCCTGACCATGGGCATCACATCTGGTCCTCCTAAGCTTTGGTGATGTGTGTTGCCTGTTCTGGTGGCCTCCCTCTGATACAAAGTGGCCTGGAACTACGTTGTCCCGCTTCTCCTCTCCGCTGACTCTGGATGAACCATCTCTGGCCTCCCAGTTTCTACATCTGATCTGCAGTTTGCAGTCAGCAATGTTCACACCTGGCTTTATTCACACTCTGTAATCAGTTGGTTCCTCTCTGCTGATGTATCTTGCGGAAGCTACTGGGTGGAGCCAGGCTACTCAGGAACTTTGCTTTTCCCAATGTGTGACGTTGGATTGCTCGTTGGACAGGAGGGCAAAGCAGAGAGCTCGGACCTGCCTTGCTGGGCTCAGCTGCAAAATCCTGCTCTCTTTTTTTCTGGGATTACTTGGTTGAAATACAAAGTTCATTTTCACACTGGAGACTGGTACAGTGCATTTCACCTGTAGGGAAGAGACTTACTGGGATGAAATCCTCTAGGAGAGTACAAGAACATGTTTCTTTTTATGGCTAACCAACACAGGTGGGTAGAGGGGAGGGGAGCCTTCCTGCAAAGGTCCTGGGCTGCCTTCAGCGGTTAAAGAAGAAGGACTTGAGGCTCTGAAGAAACTGTGACTTCTGTCTCTGCTTCTGCTTCTTTCGGATGATGGGGATCCAGACAAGGCCGCAAACGAGGAGCATCAGTCCCAAGGATAGAAAAGCCGGGCCACACATTTTGTAAACCTTTTTGTTCTTGCTTTGGATGCAAGACAGGCTGGTGATGACCATCCCGAAGAGGAAGACAGCTGCTCCGACAGACACCACAATGACGGGCTTGTGGTATATATCCCACTTGCTTCTGGATGCGCTGGTCCAGACAGACTCGCTCCGGGAGCTGATGCAGAGGGTGCTGGCCGTGTTACTGGTCAGCAGCTCCTTGGACTGAGGAGATTTCTCACTCCCGTCAGGGCTCTTGGGGGGAATTTCCATGGTGACAGGATCTGAGGAGACCTGAGAAGGACAAAAGAGAAAGAGCAGAGCAGGGCTAGTGATGGAGGATGGATTGGGTGCTTTCCATTTGGTCATTAGTCAGTGACAAGTCAAATGAAGGTGGAGAAGACTTTGTCGGTCACTGCAGGGAGAGAAGAGCATCACACCTATGAGAACAATGAAATGTAGGAATAGGCAACAGGGTTCTGGAGGTAGGCTGGACTGATGATGCCTGCAGAGTCCCACTGCCCACCCATGGACAGTGGGACTCCTGCAGTCCCTGTCCTGAGACCTTCCAGCTCACTAGCTTCCAGCTCCCACAGGGATCCAGTGGTGGGATGACTAGATGTCCATTGGGACCCACTAACCTCCCAGGGCTCTTGGCTGCTTTCAGGGGAGTATCTGGGTGCTGCAAGCAGGGCTGGTGATGTTGCCTGTGGGGAAGAGCTCTGTATCCCTGGACCCGCTTTCCCTCCCAGATCCCAAATTACACCTCAGCACCTTGTGGCATGATCATGTCTCCCTCTTGCAGGCAGGGAAACTGAGGCACAGGTGTGCCATGTCAGGACCATTCAGCGGGAGAGCAGAAAGCACCCTCCCAGGGGCTGAGCGCTTCCTTCGGCCCCCTGGGGCTGGGTGTTCCTCACTGCCACATCCAGCCTAGACATGTCAGCCTTGTAGTAGCCGCAACACAGGAGCTTCTCATTTCCTATCTAAATGCACAGATGAGAGATGGGGAAATGCCTGTCACAGAGGAAATATTTCTCCAGCTGTAAGCTGGGGCAGGCTGCTGCGGGAGGGCTCTTGGGCTCGGTAGCAGGAGCACACCAAAACACTCTGCCTTGCGATGGCTGGGTCAGCAGTGTGGCTTTTTGAAGCATTATTTTATCACCAACTCAAGGAGGAAATACATTTTCCCAGAAACAAAGTGCCTTTAGCACGGAGAAGCCATTATGGTAAATGGGAAGGGCCAAGCATTATGTTAACCACTATTTCCTCAGGGCTCTGCTGAGGAGACAAGGGCAAGAGGCTGGATCAGGGAGTGCTCCTGATGCATGGTCTGACCTGCTGCTGGGAAGCCCATCAGAGATGAACCCATGCAGGTACCAGGGCTGAGGAGGGTGGGAGAGGCTGGAGATGTGGATGTTTCGCACCCAGGAATCAGATTTTTTTTGCAAAGCAAACTCCTGCCTGAGCTGCCAGATTTTCTCCCAAGGGCTCGGTGGTGTCAGGAGGGCTTGGACTGAGCTGTCCTCTCCAGGCTTTCAGGCTGTCCCCACCCTTGGGGCATGGGGATGCTCTGTAGCAGGAGTGTGACAGCAGTGCCAGCCTGGAGCAGCCCAGGACCCTGCGTCTCCCTTCTGCCAGCCCCAAAGCTGTCCCTGTAGAGCTCCCCCGTTCAGGGCAGCAGTCAAGCTCAAGCCAGAACCATGCTGGCGTGGGCACAAGCCCCCAGTGGGGCTCAGATGGATGGGCAGTGCCACCAGAGCTCTGTGCCCACTCCACTGCCAAGCACAGCTCTTCCTAAGCACTACGCAAGCTTTGAGGCTAAGTGGGCTTCGATCCGGAGCAGTTCATTTAAAACCCTGCTTCGGCCCTCGTTTGATGCACACAGCACCGTGGGCTGCGTGTTTGCTCAGTTCAGCCCTGGCTGTACCCAGACCCACTGCTGGCCCGAGGGATGGCTCACAGGAGGTGCACATCACGGGTGATACCGGGCTGGATTTGCATACCGCATATGCCACGGGAAGGCCTGTGGCTGCAGCGGGCAGCAACGAGGTGTAGATGAGATGAGCATCAAGCCCAGCGGCCCCAGCTTATTTCCCGTTGCTGCTAATCAATGCGAGAGCATGTACCACGTCAGTGCAGCCGCACAGAGCCTGCAAAGCTGGCACAGCTCCAGAGGCACCATCTTAAGGAAACCTGCCAGTATTTAGGCCATACTGGGCCCAGTGCCCACCTAGGGATGCTGATGGCTGGGTGCCAGCCAGCACCTTGTTCTTTCACCTGTGTCCCCTGCCAAAGTTTGTGGTTTAGTCTGAAAAAGAGACAGATGTAATTTTTCAGTTTGGTCCCCCCAACACAGACACTGTTCCAGAAATGCAGATCTGGTGGTATTGACGTATTTTGTGATGTTTCAGGTTCACCAAACTTGGACCAACAAGCAAAAAATAAAAGCCAAGAGCAATGGACATGATTTAGATCCCTCCCATCCGCAGCTTTCACCCCTCTCTGCACAGATGGGGGCATTTCTGCCATCCTGATAGATCTCCTTCAGCACTTGCTCAGGGATGGTCAAGCACTTGACAAGGCAGGTAAGTTTGGTCACAGTAGCAAGTTCTAGTTTCTCTGCTTCTCTTCCTTTTGAGTTGCTAACCCTATCTCTGCAAGCTGGACTGATTGCAGTGGAGCTTGCTGACCCCTTGGCTTTGCAGAAGCACGAGCTGCCATGAGATGTTATTTTGATGGCTACAGCCATATTTAGACATGCAGGTGATCAGGTACAACTTCCTCTGCTGTCAGCTTCTGTGATACAGCTCACCTCACTGCTCCTGTAAGTTGTGGCTCCAGGCAGCCACAGGCTCCTCCAGACAAAAACCAAATACTGACAGCGATGTCCAGTGTTTTGGGGAGACAGTGAGGCTGGCTCTGTGTGGGCCAAAACCTTTGCTCTGCTTCCACCTATACAACCTGCCCAGGAGTCAGCCCAAACCTCCAAAAAAACCCCCACCAGCTGCAGTTTTGCAAAGATGTGTCCAGATCCTGGAAGACTTCTGCTTTGCTGGTTTGTGCAGCCTGTCCACCAGCTCCCTTGCTCTTAGCATTGCTGGGTTGTGATCCCCCTCTTCTAGCTCAAATCTGTTGCAAGGCTCTTCCTGAAATTTCATCCTAGGCAGTCGTGGCATTTCTTGTCTTTCTCCTTGTCACATCCATTGTGGAGAGGTTTTATGATGAAGCCACTGTATAATTTTAATTTGGCTTTGTGTTTGGAAATTTGCTTTCTTCCCTGGAATAATGCCCAGATCTCATATCTCAGCAGTCTAATGCAGTCTGCCCCGCCCCATCTGTCAGGCACCCCACTCCCTGCTTGCCCGTGTGCTGCCACCCTCCCTCCGCATCTGGGGGTACTCTGAGCTCCGCAGAGCACTTTCCTCTTCATTTTGCAGAGCATTAATGTCAGGCTCCTGCAGAAACCATCCTTTCAGGTTTGCATTTACACTAGAGTGCATTTTTTTCCCCACTTTTGTTTTCTGGCATAACCATCCCTCTCACCACAATTCCTAGACACTGATCGATTTTCTGGCACTTGCTGGCAGAGCATGCCTTTTTGGTCACACTTTTCTCCACATTTGGTCTTCTTCCTCTAATTTATATACTCCGCTTTGTATTTCTGTCTGTGCTTTTGCATGAGGCTCTGTGTATTTTCCCCACTGTTAGCTAGTGAAGGATTTCACTCCCTGCAAGTGGCTGGGAGTTTGTTTGCGAGCACTGCATGTATCTGCAGCTCTTGGGAGAGCTGATGTGATTTCAGTTCCTGCTCTGCCCACGCTCCATCCCTAATTCATCACAGATGTGCTCATATTTGAAGATGTGATGGTTGTGCTGAGCAGCCTGGCAGGATAATGCTATCAGATTTCTCCCAATTTTTTTAATCATTATTGTTGTAAGGAGAGCATCAGCAGATGACCGTTTGCTGGCTTGAAAATGCCTCCAGAGCACATCTCAGATTTCATGTCTGGTGTTGTGCTGCTGCTGCCTCTGAAATCTTGGGCAGTGGCGGTGGAGCTAACACTAGGGTCTTTCTTTCCCCCCTTCATAAGGAATAGCCTCGTGTGAATCTATTTCTTCTCCCTTTGCTCTTCCAGTGCTCTGTGAGGTGATGTTCAGTTTCTGAGCTGGGAGATCCACTGAGGCCCATCTGCTGGGGACCCCAGTGGCAAAGCAGCACAGCACACACTTGGATACCTCCTGGACCTTGGGGACATTACATGGTGGTGCTGAGGAGAGAGCTTTGGACTGAGCAGAGCACCTAAGGGCTCTGCCCCGGGTCCCTCAGCCCATCCTGGCTGCAGATGGGGTTCCTCACCCACCAGCCCCCAGCAGTGGCAGCTCTCAGGACTGGCATCCCAGCTCAGGATCTGGGATGCTGCAAATAACCTGCAGAGGTGGCCAGTGTCATGCTAAAAGTGGGTCAACAGCCCGATCTGAAGATCTTGCTCCTAAGCACAGGTCTGTGTCCTCCCGGCAATGCAAGGGTTGGATTTACTCTCCCAATCCAGCCCTCAGCCTGACCATCTCCTTTTTATTTGCAGAGGCAGCCCCAATTGTTCAAGAGCTTCTATCATGCT